CTTTCAGTCGTGCAGCTGTGCAGTCGGGCCGCAGTCGGAACAGGCCGGTACCATGGTACACATGACAGGCGGCGAGGTGGAAACTGACAAAATGGACGAGTCCGCTAGGTATTTCAATTACCTGAGGACCCTGGCGGATCTCACGGCCTTGGCCAGCATCATGGCGGTGCAGGTAATTTGAGGATTATGCTTGAATCACGGCCTAATCGGGATGACGTCCCGAATGTTGACTTCTCTCGAGGGATTAAGCCTGACGTTATAAATCCCTTAATTCCCGAAATGCGAAGCGGTTCAGACAATGTTTCTATTCTATAGCATTAAACGTGAATAAAAGTAAACATATACGAAGTTATAATAATTAATTGAGATAATAATAAAATATAAAGTGAGAAGACAAAAGCTTCAGAAGCCAAAGTTTTGTAAATCCTATTTCCAACGCTGAAATCACATCGTGTTTATTGATGTTCAAATTGATTCAAACTACAAACATTAAATAGCATATTGTTAATTATCGTGTTTGCGCTGTAACCTAATGCAGATCTATCAATCTCGGTGAATTACAGTCGTTATTAATGAGGAAGTTAGCTAATTAAGCCAGGCATACGATCGAGGAAATAGTTACAAGAGAAAATGCAATATAGTGTATATCTACGATATCCGACTTTATATCAACTCGAATGCTTGTTAGATCTCATCGTGGCCATCTGCCATCAGAAAATCGGGCAAATAAAAGCCCACAATTTCGAAATACGATCGATCGCACGGAGGACATCCGTTTACTGCCGTGTCGTAACCAGCGGATGCCGCGACGGAGGTTAATGGATGGTTGGTAAAGCCATCCAGCGACGCATTTTCATTTGAATCATCTGACCTGATTTCTAAATTATCGAACAATCGTACGATAGGACGTCGCACGTTGTGCGATAGCAGGTACTGCGCTCATCATCGTCCAATTATAGATCGCGTTATCGCTGGGTCTCACGTGTCTTCTACTTGTCAAACATGTCAATACTTCTAGCCTTATCGTCGCTCGAAAGAGTTTACTGCGAAGAGAGCCTGTCGCAAGGACTCTTGAGATTATTATTGTTTAGATGTATCTATAGAGTAGCAAATATGGGATCTCGATTGGAAGCAAATTGAACGATTAACAAGTGGCTGGACGCGAATCCGATAGCGCAGAAAAGCGTAGTAGCGCCGCTTATCTGAACAGACATATCGGCGAGGGCCGATCGACTAACGAGTCGTTTCACAAGAAATCGCAAGCTCTGTCTGAGAGCCTGATACCGGTGCACGCTGTAAATACAACACCGATTGCGCAATTGAGAATCGTCGAGAGGTCGAGCGACGTAACGAAAAAATGTTCAACTTCGACCGACCGATAAAACTGATGGTGTACACGCGGACGTGATTGCCGCGAAATGAACGCGAGCGGCAGATTGTACGGTCGCCAAACTCGAGATATTGGCAGATAAGGGCGTATCGCGCGGGGTCGAGCAATCTCGCGTCGAGTTTAATTAATGCTAACTCACGCGCGTCATAATAGCGAGACGGCTGTGCAGACGGCTTGCGGTTTTACTCCCGTCGCGCGAAAACACGGTGTCGAGACACGGTTCCGCGATTTTCCGAACATTGCAGTCATTCGCATTTATTTTATAATTACCCGGATGGAAGATACTCAAACGCGCTTCTTTACGTAAGATTGTTTGACGTAAGGTGCCCGCGTCGGACGTTCCCGGCTAATGTTCCTGGAAACTTGACGGCTGTCTCTCATTTTCGTAATATAGTAAAAGTTTCGTCTTTATCTTTGTGACCGTACGAAAGCCTAACAGGGGAGAGAAAGTTTTATGATTGTATACGAGAGCTTAAATATGGGAGAAGAGAAAGAGCTGTTCGACCGACTATATATGTACATAGCAAATTAGCATTTAGCACGTACACATATAATGCCGACGTCCAGATGACTAATGATCGGTAATCTGGCATTAGTAAGAAATGAGATTGACGCGTACAGATTGCGATCGGGGCGAGATTTCGAACATAAAAAACGAATCATGCGCGAGACAATGGCTCGATTATCACGAACCAATTAATAAAAACCGCGTACGTCAAGTACTAAGGCGCGTGACAACCGCAGTCTTGACCTTTTGCGACATTTCAATGAAAGTTCAATGATAATTATGGAAAAAAGGTGACTCGCAAATAGACGCAGCGATGTTGCCATCGCATTAGTCCGGTTAAATCCATCTCGATCATGATATGGAATTTGAGAAAGGGAGGAGGCAATATTGCGGCGTTTTTATCTCACGGACGCTTTCTTATGAAAATCACATAATTCTTATTTGTGACATCGCGAAGTGTTCTATCTCGCAAATCTGATCAATCGTATACAACGTAAATTATTAATCTTTTATTGCCGCATTCGTATTTATCTGTTTTTCAATCGTCGATGCGGTGATAAAAAAAACTACGTTGCAACTGTGATTTTTTTACGACGTCACTTTCGATGATACAGGTACCTAGAATTTTGCGTTATCTTATTTCTGCACGAAATAAACAAGATCTAATCGCATATTCGCCAGATTTAGAATTTGCAGAAGCAGAGATTTTGATATATCTATCTCCACGGGATCTCCAGATGTTTTGCAATTTCTCGTTGACGCAGTCGAATCGTAAGATGACAAATGTCACGTCTCTTTGTTATATTACTTTCAAAGCGAGCAGGAGAGGGAGAGAGAGAAAGAATGAGGGAGGGGGGGGAGAGGAAAATCTTGTTAGAGTATAATGTACTAGAAATTATCAGAGCGAGATATATAGTCTGCAAATAGTGCTGAATTTATGGCGGCTTTTGCTCCTTCGCGAAATCTCGACGTGACTACCCGAAACGAGATTGTGCGAGCTGTTAGTTTCGCGATATAACGCAGGTCGACACGCCGCTTCGTTTGTTAAAATGGACCTTCATTTTCGCCAGAGATTCGTCGCGCTCAGAAAATCCTATTGTGTCTACCCGAATGAAGTGCATTCGCCCGCGCACAATTCATATTGAACGGCGCGAGGAGGGAGGGAGTCGCCAATTGTGTGCGCCTATTTTATTTATCGTGTATACGTTTCACGCGTTTTACTTGAGTTTTCCCCATCGACCCACTTTAAGCCTTTCGAAATCCCCCTTATCTTTATGGTACTGCCTCTCTTGCGCCCGTGGAAGCACGTCACATTCGCAGACGCATCGTAATAAATCGCCACGCCGATTTTTCACGAGAGCAAACAGTCGAGCGCTTTCGAATTGCGACAGTAACTATCTTCCCATTTAAAGTGTCTCGTCAAAACGCTTTTTTTTTTTGTTAGTAAAATGACAGAATGTTACATCCGTTCGTGTGGAAACCTCGAGATCGATAAGTAGACTTATCTAAAAATGCACTATATAATGCTGGGCCTGGGAGTGTTGCCGGTGTAAAATTACGTGTAAAATTGAAGGAATGAATATTAAAGTGCGATCGGGTGGAGGAATCTCCGAGTCAATCTCCGACACGCCTCTTTTATGTTCTTGTCTCTCGGCCGTCGTAATCTCTCACCATTTTGCTCTTGTATTTTTGTTGGCACAAGATATTTTTAAAAGACACGAAGATATTTTTAAAAGACCAAGTTATTATAATTGACGTATGTCAAAAGTAACTACGTTAGATAGGACGAATAATTGTTGCAGATAGTTTGATGAAAGGCAATGCAGGTGCTATCTACACTAGCTCCCTTATCGCTCGCTTCTTCCCGTCCGGCGCATATATGTAATAAGCGGGCCGCAGGCGCACGGTAATGATATTAGTTATTCCGATAAATGCGAGACGTCTATCTATTCTCATCGAAAGCGGGTCAAACGGTAAAGTTCAACGGGGGGGTCGACGGTAAAGTTCAAAATAGGGATGCGGAGTGACTCGCACGAGCGAGTGACTCCGGGCGCGGAAAAATCAGAAGAGAGCGCACACGTGCGCGAGACAGCTTGGCGATTCTGCAAAATCAACAGTTGTTGAATGCGTAAATGTCTCTCAGATACGAGACGAGCGATGACAGAGAATGGCGCGCGCGCCGAAATCTATCGGACCGCAAAAGGGCGCTCAATCAGCGCGTTGCGCCACGCGACGGAATTATCCAATAATCCCGCATCGCAGGTCATTACTCCAGCTCGCGTGGGCAAGTAGGTATATATTTGCGCAAACACATGTATTTACATTTATCTCACCGGCCCCGGTGTGAGAGCGGGCGCGCACACGTTTCACCGCACACGCCTGTGTAAAGATGATATACACCGGCGATAGTGTCGCTGATAAGAGCGGGAAGCGCAAATGACGCGGGGGGGCCGGGCTTTGTTTGCCTCGTGTGAGCCTCGACGGTGCACGTGTCCCCTGCGACGTTTCGACGGGTGATATATACGCAAATGGAAGTAAATATTCATGACGAGATAAGGCGTTTGAGAATCACGCACGAGAATGAGAGGAGAGGCACTCGTGGGAAAAGATTCACCAGTTTCCCTCGCAAATATCGGTAATCCGGATCACACTCTTTCGGCGCGATCCTCCGACTCTTTCGTTCCTCTTCCCGGTACCTTTCGTTGGCTTCATCTCGGTCCTCACCGTTATCCATTTCCACGTAAAATCGTAAATCTATGGAAATGGCTTTTTTTCTGTCGCCTTGGCAGATGTATATCTGGAGTCGATTTAGTAGAAAGGATACCGCCTCATCTCAGGTAATTTAACTTAACGGCGCTTACTAAATCGTACAAAATCATGTAGATTCCTCGAAGGTGTATAAAACATCTGTGAATCGAGGACGAAAAGTGATTTTATTATGCAGGCTCATTTAGCGGGTTCAATTAACGGTTCATTGCACGCATTACCGCGATAATTTATCGATTTGCGGAACAGAAGCGAACATTTTATCATTACGTTACATCCACGATTACTCTCCTCAAGCGCTCCTCCTAACGATCGGCTTTTATCTTTTTCTTACAGTTCAAGAGAATGCTGAACAAGGAGCTGTCGCATTTCTCGGAATCGTCCAAGTCTGGGAATCAAATCTCGGAATACATCTGCAGCACTTTCCTCGGTAAGTCAAAACGTGATTCTTTTCCTTTTGTAGAAATTGTTACAGTGACAATAAAGCGACGCGAATTATAAAGTTCGTGCGTAGAACGGGGATTGACGTATATCGTCCCCCCTTCCCTTCTCTCCCCTCAAGAAGCAGAAGTGCGTTTTCGCGAGTGCCGGAGAAAACGAATGAAAAGAAATTTGCGAGACTACTACGAGGTCTAACGAGGTCACCGCCGGAAGCAAGTTTATGGGCGCAATAAAACGAGCGCTCTTACGCATTGAAAGCCCTTGAAAGACCGTAGCCGGTATCGCCGCCGTGACCATTCATTCTGGTTAACTCGCTTTGTGCGAACAAACGGTCGCGTTGTAGTCGCGCAAGGTTTATAATCGGCGAGGAGGAACCGCGCGTCCGCGATTCCTCCTTTGTATTCGCGAGCGTCACGGAGAGAGAAATGTAAAAGACGCGATTTCTCTCTCGCGGCACGATGTTGATTGCAGCGAAAATCGTTCTATCGGGATAGAGCCTTTAACCGAGCGGATCCTGTCTTGCGGCGCTTCTCTGCAAAATTACGTTTACGATACTACTGACTTCGTTACGTAGTTTCCTCTAACGAGTTACGGTCGATCGAAATCGGATTATATCGAAAGTCGACGATGGGCGAGCACTTTTTTTTTCTAATTGCGAGCAAAGTTGTGACGCGCGAGGGAAATTGAAGGAACGCGAGACACGAGCTGTCAATGCTATCCAAATACATACGTAATCTGACTCGCATATCTGAAGCGCCTTTCACCACCGTTATCAATGTCGATCGATTAACCGTTTATTCACTCGTTCGCTTTTCGCCGTTCGACAGACAAGCAGCAGGAGCTGGATCTGCCGTCTCTGCGAATCGAGGATGCGGTCGCAGCAGCGGGTAGCGCGGATGCCCGGGCGGCGAAGAAGAAGGACCGCGCGCAGAGGGGCCCCGCTGCCATGTCGCACATCAGCGGCGTGAAACGGCCGTTGACACACACCAACAGCTTCACCGGGGAACGCGTGCCGGTCCACGGGGTGGAAACGCCGCACGAGGAGGAGCTCGGCAAGGTAAGAGCCTTTGACCTTTAAATGGTTTCGCGATGCAACGATATATACAGTTCCGTTGGGACGACATATATAGAGGCGTTCCTCTCTGACGCACCACGCGGCGCGGCGTTGTCGCAGCTGGGTTTTTCCCGAATCGCAAATCATTTCGCAGAGATCTGCGAAATGTAAACGGGATAGAAATATAAAAAATGAAATTAATTGCTGCAAAAATACACACTGCACGAGAACAATATCGTAATTATATATATATATATAAAGCATTGTTGCGGCATTTTGCTGCAACGTTATGACGTCCTTAACTCGAATCCCCATTTGAAACGTTAAAAAAATAACTCCAACGTCACAGAAAAAGAGAGAGAGAGAGAGAGAGAGAGAGAGAGAGAGAGAGAGAGAGGGAGAAATAAAAGGTTACAAAATTCGACAATTTGAATAACTTACGATTATTCGATTGTTACGTAAAAGCGGGTATTTTAGACACGTGATATTATAAACGAAAGCGGACGAATATATCTCACGTCGATTAGATGATCACTTTCTATTTGTCCGGGAACGCTCGCAGTAACGCGACCACGTCGTGCCTTCCATCTGTGGCACACTCGTTGCTACAATATAATGCAACGTTCCTACAAGATAATCCACAAGCGTCTAATATTGAAACGATAAGCAGTTAATTTGCGCCGTCTTACATCTCTCGAAGTTTCATCAATCCCGGAATCAATTTCGCCCACGAAGGCAATCTTCGCGCAAATGTCAAAGCAAATAGCAATGCGGCATTTCGATAGGATTTATACACATGGGTACTCACGTGCCGATGCTAAACTGGTTACGAGCCCCAATAGAATCGAGATTTATTCGACTGTACGATCATTAATCGCAGCCTAACGAGAGAGTGGCACGTGTAATCCGCGTTACATATCGATTATACGGTCGCAAAGCAGAAAAACAGAGCGATTAACATATGTTAATGGTAAGTTGATAAGTATATATTGCACGATTTTAATACGATTACTGCGATAATTACTAGAGGTTTTCACATGATGATTGCTCGATAATTAGCTCGATAATTGCAAAAGCTTTATTTAGTTATGAGGTAAAGAATGAATTTTCAATAAGAGAATCCGTAATAACTACGTGTATAATCATATTAAAATCGCGCAATATGCAATATTATTAACGTTTGTGCCGTTTTTCTTGTGCCATTGCCGAAAGGCACGATCGAAATTCGATATCGAAACTAAAATATATAACATTACACGGATCACACGCGCGGTTACCCTTTTTCGTGAGAAATAAAGTTATAATCGGTCTGTTAATTTCTAATCAATTCTTGGAAAGGATTAAGTTTGTATAGCCGATCGACGTCACGTGGGACGTTGCTCCGCACGGAATAACAAGATTACCGGTTCTCCAACCGGAAAGACAACCTCATAACCTTTAATTGAAAGAACGTTCAGGGAGACGGATGGTGCCGGAAATTTTGATTTAATTCTGCTAATAAACATATCTTTCTCTAAAAACATCCACCTTACGTAAAAGTCGTACGCTGCGCAGTTAAATTTCTATAACGTTTTCTACATACGATTAAAGACATAAATATCATTTTATAGGCCCACCTTACGAAACATCGGCAGTCATGTAAAAATATTAATTAGTTTCAATTAATTAGGGAAAATAAAAGATTAATGTGTGTGCTGTTAAAGTAGCCATCTCTTCGGCGAAAAAGGACTTCCGAGTATATCGCGAAATCATCAATTCGGAGATTAACAGAACGGTCTACTAAATATACGCTAAAGGTTTCTCGTATCTAGTCTTCCGCGAAAAGTTTTCGTTTGGCGAATTTATCGCAGCGGCGACCTCGTCGGTGATCACGTTTATTGTTTCTTTTCGTTCTTTTGATCCGCGCGCGATATTGACGTAAATTCCATCCGTATCCGAGAATTCCACGATGTTTCTGGCTTTCATCTCCGTGCGCCTATGGATATACCTATGTACCACGGGTGCGATGTGCTATATCGCGCGACTCGAATCACGGGCGTCATACTATACGCGGTTTCAATTTCGGAAAATTCCATCAACGACGCTCTCGATACCCTCGTACCCGCGTACTGGCCGAACTTTTCATTTAAAGTACTCTCCCGATTTTACCGTGGCATTAGTGTACCTACACGTACAACACACAACAAATGTAACGACACAGAGAAAGAAAGAAAAAGTACAAAAGAAAGAAAAGGGGAAGGATTGTAGATTCGATCACATATAAATCTCACGGATTGAGATTATCAAGAAACGCGAGAGCGACGATTTTAATTGCCGAGAGCAATTAAAATGTTTTGCGCGAAATCATTAAGGCCGCATCATTAACTGTGTCGAGTCTATATTTGATATTCGCGTCGAACTTTCATCACGTTTTCACATGCATATCACGAGTCTCGCATTTTGTTCGCTTCAGGGAACAACTCCGTGCTTGTTGCGCCATTTCAAATTCGCATGTCAATGCGTATACGTGGACGCGGGATGAGATTCGAGCGTTGAATATGTATTTCGAGTTTATTCATTACATAGAAAATCCCCGGGGTAAAAATGCCGCCTCTCTCGCTGAACCATTGAGATCGCTAGGGGAACCGTCGTAGGTAATAGCGAAGAATAACAATTGTTTTTAATGTCAAGGTATCACACCCGGTCACACGGAGCAGCGCGAAGCTTTAATTGGTTTCGGGCGAGCGCTGAAACTCCAGCGTGTATGTAAACATATAATGACACAGAAGTTTATCATTTCCATTTTTCATTCTACTTTTATACGTAGATGTTAATAAAGGGTCTTAAAGCGGTTAATTTATTACATTTGTACATCAGCTCGGAAGATACACGTTACTTCCCCGATACGCGAGTAAATTAACATCGCGCATATCTTCTCATTTCTTCTTTATATGACCGTGAGCTTATCTCTTTCTCGCGGTCGGCAAATACATGGCCGGATGACGATAGAATTTTTAAAAACGGAACGTTTACCCTGTCGCGTATGTACGATTACGCCGATTGCAAGGCCGGTTGTATTTTAACCGGTACAGGCAGAAGCATTTGGGCCGAGGTCGCGCGCGCGATTTTGATAACCTGAATAACTTTACCGATTAGCGACGCGCATCTTTCGCGACGAGGGACCTAAGAGGAGCTGATTTTTCGGCGCTTCTCCGAAAGTGAAATCGACGTCACGTTCACGGTGGCCTGAAATGAGATTTGCGGAATGTTTCAAGGTACACTCTCGCGACTTTGATTGCCACGTACATCGTAAACTTTATATTTGCGCCACTTCTATACGTTATAAAATATAATCCGTAACTCCAAGTCCTGCGAGAAGTTGCACTTTAGGGAGGAATAACTTAAACGCGTTCATTGTATACTCTCTTAGAAATCTTACTTCTGAGAAAGTAAGCGGTGAAAGGCCATCTTTCCATTATGCAAATTGAGGTAAATTTTCTTAATGAAAAAGAGGAAGGAACCGTGGGTGTACTAAGCGCCGCTATATATTCTGAATATTAATCAGATTTCTCGTAGAGAGTATCACCCGGTTGGTGATACGTTCGCCAGAACTAAAATGTGCGACGCAGACGTGTCCTTAGATGGCTACGTGATCCTGCGCAGGCTCCCCGAGACTGTGGAGACCCACTTTTGTGCCCACGCAATTATGATTCAACCGTCCCAGAACGCCACTTTAATGGATACATTATTTGGCGCCCAAGTTGACACTTCCAATGCACGCTTTGTGCGGGAACGAGGGACTATTATTGAAACTGCAGACGATCGAAATATCAGTCGTGGTGTGTTGCAACTCACTGAAAATCACACAGTTTAATGATATTTAGACAAACGATCCAGCTAAATCCCGTTAAATCTGGCTCGCTCGCTTGTCGTTCTTATCGTCTCTGTTGTCGCGCGAGTAATATGCGAGACTGCAATGTTGTCCGTGAATAATCAGCTTCGCGTGTGACCCCATGACGATAACGCGGGACCCCCGCTATCTATCTGTACCCGAAGACACATTGTGATATTATTTCGTTTAAACGAGTCGCTACAAGGCGCATTTGTGCTCATAATTAATGTCTACGACGCACGGTATAATAATTAAATAATAACCACAATCAATCTCTCTCTCTCTTTCTCGATGTCACTTCAAAGTGAAACATCTAATTCGTATATCACGTGCACAACGACGCTGTATTACTGGGAATATCATTGCTATAATGTCTGCGTAATTATTTACAGTTGCTCTCGGACATCGACAAGTGGGGTATCGACATATTCAGGATAGGCGAGCTCAGCAGCAATCGGCCCCTCACCTGCGTGGCGTACACGGCCTTCCAGAGTCGAGATCTGCTCAAATCGCTGGCGATACCTCCCAAGACCTTCGTTACCTTTATGATGACCCTAGAGGATCATTACGTGAAGGATAATCCCTTCCACAATAGCCTCCATGCAGCCGATGTGACCCAATCTACTCACACTCTGCTCAACACACCCGCACTCGAGGTTTGTATACATAATGCGTATATATATGTCTTCTGCTTATGTAATGTCGGTCTCCCTTTTTTTTTCGAGCTTGGAACTTAAGCGCGCTATCACAATAAGCTCTGCAAATATCCCATTAACGAGTGTAAGGTACTCGTACTTCGTAAACAAAAAAAAATTGAGATGTCGCAAAAAAGGAAATATGATAACACATTGTAAATAATATATTTTCTTTGCGTTACAGTCCGTGTTCACGCCGTTGGAGATCACCGCTGCATTATTCGCGGCTTCCATCCATGATGTAGACCATCCTGGACTCACGAATCAGTTCCTCATTAACTCAAGTAAGTATATCGGCGAGATTTATCAAATTTTCTGTTCGGCATCATTTGTTATTTTGTGCTGCGCTAAATATATTCATTAAACGTAAAGAAGAAGAAAAAAGTGCGATTAGCGTATTTGTTGCTTCTGTCTCTTTAATAATGATCAGCAAATTAATGATGTTTTTTTTTCTCTTGTTCAGGTTCCGAGCTCGCGCTGATGTACAACGACGAGTCGGTGCTCGAGAATCATCACTTGGCGGTCGCGTTCAAGCTGCTGCAGAATGAGGGCTGCGACATATTCGTGAATATGACGAAGAAGCAACGCCAGACGCTGCGGAAGATGGTCATCGACATGGTCCTCTCGACAGACATGTCGAAGCATATGTCGCTGCTGGCCGATCTGAAGACCATGGTGGAGACGAAGAAGGTCGCCGGTTCCGGTGTGCTGCTGCTCGACAACTACACCGATCGTATCCAGGTGCTGGAAAATCTGGTGCACTGCGCCGATCTGTCTAACCCGACAAAACCATTGGCTCTTTATCGACGATGGGTGAGCCTGTTGATGGAGGAGTTCTTCCTGCAAGGCGACCGCGAGCGGGAGCAGAACATGGACATCAGTCCGATGTGCGATCGGCACAGCGCGACCATCGAGAAGTCGCAGGTCGGCTTCATCGATTACATCGTGCATCCACTCTGGGAGACCTGGGCAGACCTGGTGCATCCGGACGCGCAGGAGATCCTGGACACACTCGAGGAGAATCGCGACTGGTACCAATCGATGATACCGCCATCGCCGCCGTCCGACGATCAGCAACAGTTAGCGACGAACGAAGGTCAACAGCAGCAAGACAGGATACACTTTCAGGTGACGTTGGAGGAGGGTGACGAGACCAGCGAGGCTGTAGAGGGCGGTGACACAAGGGCCGGCGATGACGGCGGTGGCGGCGAGTTCTCCAGCGAGGACCCGGGCGGTGAGACGGAGGAGAACGCCACGGAGGCTGGGATGTGACGGAGGCTCGCCGGTATTTGTAGGAAGCTCCACGAGAAGGTACAACAGAGTTGGTGGCGAGTGCGTCAGTGACACTCGCACCTAGCCGCGCCTAGTCGCCGGTCCTTTTGTATCGACCTATGCCACGTCGGCTGGACCACGAGGGAGGACGGCGATTAAAATGACGGGTGGGCCGTCTCTCGATCGGGCGGCGCAAAGAGACAACGTCCCGACGACGACGGAATTGTGATTCACGAAGTGCGAAGACGCTTCAGGATCGTTACGTTTCGGCTGGACCGAAACGAGCGACGCGAAACGGACGAAGCTGTACACACGTCTTTTGTCGTCGTCGTCGTCGTCGTCGTCGTCGTCGTCGTTTCAGTTTCGTCTCCGCGTTTCGTCTCATTGAATACTGTCAAGCGGGAGGGGCGAATCTCTCTTCACAAAGTACCTGCGCAAATGAAAGCGGCAGCTGCATGTTTGCTATATCGAGTGGGTGGCAAGATGTTTTCTTTTTTTTTTTTCCTTTTTCATTTACACACGCACACACACCGTGGATGGTGACGATCGGCGTCACAGTGATCGTCCATCGTGCACCGATCGTCATCTTCTTCAATTGGTTTAAACGACGCTTGTGTCGCCGTCGAAGGCTGGAGGGAGCCTCTCTTCCAGGACATGCAGGATCCTCAACAACATATCAACAGTGTACGATATACTATGGATTCTAGCCGATGCGTATTAGCGATACTTCCGAGCAGATCGATGTCTCTGTCTTCTTCTTTGGATTTCGAACGCCGCGCGAAAATTGTTGACACGTAAGCCAACGTTTGAGACTTATTGTACTTGCGTACGACGGAAGTTTATCAATTTGTTTCCAATTCCTGCGTTACAATGCGTTACAATGTAATGTCGTAAGCTCAACAATGCGTTGCATTCTCGTGGTCTAATTTTGCGAATGATCGAAACGTTTTTCGCCGATAGTCGATATTCAAAATTATCCGCGATAATGGATCGGATCGGAGTCCTTGATTCCGTTATCCGAATGCACGCTATGTCTGAAAAGGAGTAAGACGACGAAATCAGAAAATTCAATTGAACGGAAGGATACTCAGTTGCAGTTAGGCGCGTTCATCCTTTTAGTTCTTCGACGGTTATTCTATAGTCACCTACTACTATCGGTAGAGAAAGGGATACCTGTCCTTAATCGTAAGATTTTGTCATGTTCGCTTCGTAGACGTAGACAAGTTCGTAAGTGAATTGTTCGTAATCGAAAAAAAAAGCGAGAATCCAGAAGTAGCCGCGTGTCTATAAAAGGAAATGGTAGAGCAAACACGTAGAGTATTACCCGCCGTCTGTATAATTTAAGCGAAAGGAGCGCGAGAGGAAATGTCGCTTCTTTCTCCCATATCATGCAGTTGGCGGGGGGAGCACCGAGCAGCAGAACGCAGAGGAGGGGGGTGGGGGGGGGGGTGGGCATCGAGATAAGGGTACAATTAATTTTAATACACAACTATTTCTGAGAGCTGGTCTTTTAAGTTTGTATTAAAATTAATTACCAGAGCCGCGAGACGCTTTCTTGCGATATATACAATACACACGCGATACACATAACATATACACACATGCAGCATACACGATAACACAAACGCAATACGTACAACTATACAATGCGAGCGAGGATATATATCGATAGATGTTTTTAACCAAAGAGTAATATAAGTGATTGTTAAGTCGATTGCCGAGCGTGCCGTTCACCAATACGTCTTCTGACGACGAATAATCCGGCGACGGTAAACGGTCGCCGGGATTTCGCGTGAGATGTCAAAGGGGGAGAAGTGTCTTCACCACGAATGTCCATGAATCGCTCAAATTTGCAAGCTCGTTCGACGTTCAAACCGCGATCGCAATCCAAACGGACTTGGAACGCGCGCCGAGATGAACGTCGAACGTCCGCCACGCTCTGTTTTTTTTTTTTTTAATGTTATGCATCGCGAGAATAATTTTATTCTTCTCCTGGACTATACGAGTCGTACGAGAATCTTTTAATTTCCGAGAGAAGTGAGCGGGAGGGAGGAAAGCGGAGTAGTCGTCCGTATTGGTGGAATGGCGACAATTTCGCGCCTCGATGATATCAGGGAAACGAAATGAAGCACGTTATTAGCGACCGATTATGGGCGAGTGTGTGTCAAAAGAGAATCAGCCTAAAAAAAAAAAAATACAAAATTAACGTTTCACTACTACTCTAAGTCGTAAGCTTGCCATCGACTGCGCGAAGTAGGAAAAAAATTCGAGTCTGATCGGAAACGTGCGTAAGCGACCGGTGGAGCTCGGGCTCACGTAATCGTACATTTCTTAATCACGTTAAGGGAGAATTATCTAAAAATCGCATAACAAAAACAGAAAAAAAAACGGAAAAAAATACTACGGAGAAAGCAAAATCTCTATGTGTGTTGTAGACAATGATCTAGTGAGTGTTTTGGTGCTGGCCACCAAGCTTTAGCGCGTAAGAGAAACTCCGAGGTTCACGAGAGTCCGCGACTACATTGTTAAGTCGAGAAAAGGGGGG